CCAAACATCAGGGCTGGACAGAGGATTAGATGTGATTGGCTGCCCCCGTCAGCTCTGACCCCCAAATCCCTCCAGCCCTCTGGGGGTGGGTCCTAAGAGTGTTCGCGCGTTCTCCTCATTCTGATGCGCCTGCGCCTTCGGCATAGACGTCTAGCCGTTTGTGATCGTCTTCGTTCTCCTCCCCCGTATCCACGAAATTATCCTTCTCGTTGCCATTCCTCCTCCTCCTCCTCCTCATCATCACTACTTTATCTCTGCATCCCGCTCCTCCTGCTACTTGTCCTCCTCCTCCTTCTCCTCCTCGTCCTCCTCCCCTTCATCTTCCTCCTCCTCCTCCTCCTCGTGGTCCTCCTCGTCCTCCTTCTCGTCCTCCTCCTGCTCCCCATCCTCCTCCTCCCTCCTCCTCCTCCTCCTCCTCCTCCTCCTCCTCCTCCTCCTCCTCCCTCCTCCTCTCCTCCTCCTCCTCCTCCTCCTCCTCCTCCTCCTCCTCCTGCTCCTTCTCCTCCACCGCCCCCGTTTCCTCCTTCTCCTCCTCCTCCACCTCCTCCTCCTCATCCTCCTCCTCCTCGTCATCCTCCTCCTCCTGCTGGTCCTAATGGTCCTCCTTCCCGCCCCTCTTCTTCCTCCTCCTTCTCCTCCTCCTCCTCCTCCTCCTCCTCCTCCTCCTCCTCCTCTTCCTCGCCGTCCTCCTCCCTCCTCCCCCCTCCTCCTCCTCTCCTCCTCCTCCTCCTCCCCCTCCCTCTCCTCCTACTCCTCCTCCTCCTCAACGTTCTCGTCCACCTCCCCCACTCCTCCTCCTCCTCCTCCTCCTCCTCCTCCTCCTCCTCCTCCTCCTCCTCCTCCTCCTCTCCTCCTCCTCCTCCTGTCGGGATTCCTCCTTGCTGTGTGTTCCCCTCTCTCCTGCTGCTTCACCTCCGCCGCGTCATCCGCTACCTCGTCATCGGCTTCATCCTTGCAGTTCTTTTCCTGCGCCTCTTCCTCCTGTTCGCAGCGTGTCGCTTTGCATTCCTAGTAGTCATCCTGATGTTCCTCGTCCTCCTCCGCTTCGCAATGCTCAGCCTCCACATCCTCCTCCTTCTCATGCCCCTCCTCCTCCTCCTGCTCCTGCTCCTGCTCCCCCATCCTGCTTCTCCGCCGCATCCTCTTCCTCCTTCTCTTCTTCCTCAATGTCCTCCTCCGCCGCAGCATCAGTCTCATCATCATCATCATCATCATCATCATCATCATCATCATCATCATCATCATCATCATCATCATCATCATCATCATCATCATCATCATCATCCTCATCCTCGTCCTCCTCCTCACATTCATCCTACTCCTCCTCCTCCTCGCCCTGTTAATCCTTGTCCTCCTCCTCCTTTTCCTCCTCCTCCTCCTCCTCCTCCTCCTCCTCCTCCTCATCATCATCATCATCATCATCATCATCATCAGCATCATCATCATCATCATCTTCCTCCTCTTCCTCCTGTTCCTCTTCCTCATCCTCCTCCTACTCCTCCTGCTCCTCCTCTTCCTTTATCTTCTCAGTCGCCTTCGCCATACCAGGGTTGCCTTCGCACTCTCGACGCCGCTTCCAGGAAACATTCTCGCCAGGGGTGTTTTCAAACATCTAATATTTGAGCTGGCCCCGTTTTCCTCATCCATCATTCCTCTCGTCGCGCAGCATCTCGGAGCTCATTCCTAATCCCTTTCTCCTCCCCAACCCCTGCCCTCTCCATGCCTCCGCCGCGCTCTAATCGAGGTATCGCCACGATTTGCTCCAGCGTGGCTCCCCCTTGATCAGTTTTTGCAATTTACCTAAGGATCGTGATCGCGCCACCTACTTACCCCTTCTGCCGGGCCAGGGAAGCCCAGACCCTTCCCAGAGTACAATTCGACAACAGAAGTGGAATCAAATGGTTCGCCTGGGCCTCCCTCTCGGAGCCCGTGAGTCTAGAGGATATCTCAAGCGAAACGGGCCAGACTACCTCTGGCGTAGCATCTCGAAGCCCAGGTGTGATGATGCCTCGAGCGAGACGCGCCAAGCCACCTCGCGCACATGTTCTGAGAGCCGAGAGTTGCTAGGATATCTCAGGCGAAACGAGCTGGACCGCCCCGCGCACCTCTTCCAGGAGCGTGGAACTGCGAGGATGTCTCAGGCGAGACGTGACAGACCACGTCGCGCAGCATCTCGGCGACCCGACCTGCGAGGATGTTTCAGGCGAAACGGGCTGGACTACCTCGCGTGCGACATCTGGGAGCAAAGAGTTCCGAGGATGTCTCAGGCGGTGCCCAGACCCCTCCCAGGGCACAATTCGACACCAGATGTGGAATCACATGATTCGTTTGGGTGTGACTCATCCTCCCTTACTGAATCCATGAGTTTCGGGGATGGGAGTCCCGAGTGGCGAAGATGTTTCAGGCGAAACGTTCTGAACCACCTCGCGTGCGACATCTGGGAACTCGCGTATCCGGAAGGGCGGGAAAGGGAGGGGAGGGGACAGTCATAGAACAACCCACGAACCCGGCAAAGTACGTACAGTGCTGAGGGTGGCGGACCGTCTCCCCATCCTTCCATCAAAGGGGGATGCGAAGTCCCTGGAGACGGGATGCGGTGGGCACAGGTTGGTATCATAGCCAACCTACAGCCAATAGAGGCATCAAAGCCTCTGATCATCAGACTGCCTAGTCTGATCCACTCAGGGATATAACACTTCATCTTCTACTCAATTAGCTCCATGCGTATCATGCTCTCCCTGATTGGGCCGTGAACGAGATTCAGCCCCCTGCCGGCCGTCAGCGCCTGTCATAGAACTCATAGAAATCATTGACATCAAGAGGGAGAAGGCCCCGATGCTCTTGCTTTGTTGCTGTTACATGTCTTTCCCCCTCCTCTCCCGCTTCTCCCTTCGCAGCCGTTCCTCCCCCTCCTCCCCCGCTTCCCTTCTCCGCTGCCTCTTGTGCCCAAGGGCGCACGTCGCAAATTCGCTGAGCACCCCGCTCGCCCGTAGCTGGGTTGCGTCTGCAACCACAGCGTTGGGCGCGCGCCGAAGCCTGCGCCGCGCCGAGAGGGCGCGGGCGCCACGAGGCCTCGGTGCTGGCCGCAACACGACCCAGCAACGGGCGAAAAACGGGGCGGGCACGGCCGGGTCAAATCCCGAGCGAGGGGCGCGCGCCCCAGGCACACACAAACCTGTGGCACCTGCGCGCGGCCGCGGCGGGCAGCGGCCGCGCGCGGGGGCGCGCGGGCCTGCCCACATCGCCTGCGGCGCGCCGCGGCGCGCGCGAGCCAAGCGGCGGCGCGGCGACTGCTCGCGCCTGCGTCCGCCGCGCGCGCTTGGGGCCAGCGAATGTGCGCGATGGAACCAGGGGCCGAACTCGTTCCATACACACAAATTCGCTGAGCACCCCGCTCACCCGTAGCTGGGTTGCGTCTGCAACCACAGCGTTGGGCGCGCGCCGAAGCCTGCGCCGCGCCGAGAGGGCGCGGGCGCCACGAGGCCTCGGCGCTGGTCGCAGCACGACCCAATGCAACGACGCGACCAGCGCCGTGCGCCGCTCGCCCGTTGCGCACGCGGAGCGCGGCGCTCGGGCGCGCGCCGGGATGTCGCAGCCACGCTAGGTGTCTGAGCTGCTGTCAGAGCTGTCCGAGCAGTCGGACGCGGCGTCGCGCGCGGCCGCTACCCTCTCACTTTCGACCCGGACGCGGTCGATGTAAGCCAGGTAGGCGTTCGATGCCCAGCCTCCACGTTCCTTCGTTACTGCGGTCGGTGCACCCGCGCGATCGATGTCATCGGCGTGCCCCCTTGTGCGCGCGAGAGGGGCGGAGGGATGCGCGCGCCGAGCCGCGCGGGCGGTCGCGGGTCGCGACCTTCGTATGTCGTGGGCGCCGAATAGGTTGGCACTGCCCACGCCTACCCTGGACATTAGGGACCGAAGGATACGCCGGGCATCCGACCCTGAGAACTGCGCGAACGGCTGAGCGCCTACTGCTGTGCCGCGCAGCAACGGAGGCAGCGCGTGCACGGCGCGCGTCGCGGCGCGCGCGCGGCACCAACACCTCCGGCGGAGTATCGACGCGCACGGCTTGTTCTTCCGCCTTGGCAACCAGAGGAGCGCCTCGTCTGCCGATATGGCCAACCCCGCCTAGCGCGTTCGGCGCGTGCGCGGGTGCCCCAGCGCGCGCGCTTCCAGACGGCGCGGCCCGCCGTGCGGCCGCGCGACAGAGTGTTGCCGCACCACCGGATGGGTAAACACCCGGATGGTAGGCGAAGCAGGAAGATGTACGTAATTAGAAACATGGTGGATGCCACCTGCGCGACCGCTGGGTTGACTGGCAAATGCCGCGCGGCGGCCCCGCCTTTTCTTCTTCGCTGCGACCATGTAGGCCAAGTAATTGCGCAATCGTAGCGTCACGGACGAAGCGCGGTTCGCGTGGCGTGTGTCCGCCGCGCCGCACACTGGCTG